AAAAAAAAAAAAAAAAAAAAAAAAAAAAAGATGCAAAAGACACACAACTTAGAAAGGAGATAACAAAACATTCATTAGTCACAGTTGATGCGATTATCTACTTTAAAACAGAATCTAAAATCCATTGGAATTAAGGAAGTTTAGTAAAGTACTCAGTATAAAGCCAAAACCTATTTCATTTCTATACACAAGCTATAATGAGATGTAATTATAAAAGTTAACAGACGTCACTCCCACAAGGATAACTATAATAAAAAGTTAGACAATAACAAGCATTGATGAGGATGGGACTACTGGAATAATGACTGAGAATTTTCCAAAATTAATGTGGAAACCAAATCACAGATGGAAGAAATCCAGAGAACATCAAGTAGAATAAATGTTAACAAACAAACAAACCCACACCTAGACATAACATATTCAATATGCAGAAAATCAAAGATAAAGAAACACTTTTGAAAGAAGCCAGAGGAAAAAAACAGCTTACCTATGGTGTAGCAAAGATAAGAATTATATCTGACTTCTCTTCAGAAACCATACAAGCAAGAAGAGACTGGAGTGAAATATTTACTGTTGAGACAAAAAACCCCCACCAACCTAAAACTCTATATCCTGTGAAATTATCCTTCAAAAGTCAATAGACTTTCCCAAGAAAGATGCTTTTGTGACTAAACTATGACAATAAGTGAGAAAAATGACATTTACTTTACTGGAATGAAAGCACCCTTATTTTTTTCTCTGCAAAGTACATCGTTAAAACCACTGTTAATTGTAATTTGGGAAGAAAGTGTTAAATAAACAAATAATGTAATATTAAAAAGGAATAAAGAATAAAAATTTAAAAAATAAAAAATCTATATGTCCAGACCAAAGGAAAAAAAAAGGCTTTCCCAGGCCGGCCTGTGGCTCACTTGGTAGAGTGTGGTGCTGATAACACCAAGGCCACGGGTTCGGATCCTATATAGGGATGGCCGGTTTGCTCACTGGCTGAGCGTGGTGCTGACAACACCAAGCCAAGGGTTGAGATCCCCTTACCGGTCATCTTTAAAAAAAAAAAAGACTTTCCCAGACAAACAAAAACTGAGAGAGTTTGTTGCCAGTAGACCTGCCTTACAAGAAATGTTAACAGATGTTCTACATAAAGAAGAAAAATAATATAGGTCAGTAATCAGGATCTACTTAAAGAAAGGAAGAGCATTAGAGAAGGAATAACTGAAGATAAACTAAAAACTTCTATTTTTTTAATTCTTAACTGATCCAACAGTTAACAACTTATTCAAAATAATAATAGCAACAATATATTCAATGATTATAGCTTATGTATAAGTGAAATGAATGACAACAATGATACAAAGGAGGGTAGGAATTAGAAATATTTAGCTACCATAAAGTACTTGCACTACCTGTGAAGTGGTATAGTTATTTGAAAGTAGACTTAGATTAGTTGTAAATGTGTATTACAAACTCTAGGGAAACCACTAAAAAAAGTTTTTTTTAAAAAAAGTATAATTTATATGTTAAGATAGGAAAAAAAATAGAATCATATAAAATATATAAAATGCTCAGTTAAAACCACAAAAGACAAAAAGAGTGGAAGACAAAAATAGGAACAAAGAATAAAGCAATGAATAAAAAACAAATATGATAGATATTAGTCCAACTATATCAAAAATCACTTTAAACATCAATGGTCCAAATAAATCAATTAAAAGAGACTGTTAGAATGGATCAAAAAACAAGACTGACCTGTACGTTGTCTGCCAGAAACCCACTTTAAATATAAAGACACACATAGATTAAAAGTAAAGAGATGGGGGAAAAAAGGTGAATGGATGAAGAAAGATATACCATGTGAACAATAATCAAAAGAAAGCTTGAGTAGCTATGTTAATTTCAGACAGAGAAGACTTCAGAGCAAGGAAAATTACTGAGGATAAAAAAGGAGGATTACATAATGATAAAGGGGTCAGTACTCCAAGGATACATAACAATCCTTCCATGCATGTGTCTAACAAGAGTCAAAATATATGAGGGAAAAACTGATAGAACTGCAAAGAGACAAATGAATCCACCATTATAGTTGGAAACTCCAACACTCATTTATCACTAACAGACAGATCTAGCAGGCAGAATATTGGTGAGGACATAGTTGAACTCAACAGCACTATCAGTCAACCAGGTATAATTGGCATCTATAGAATACTTCATCCAACAACAGCAGAATACACATTCTTCTCAAGCTCACATGGAACAAACATTCAACAAGACAGATCACATTCTGGGCCATAAAACACACCTTAAACTTAAAAGAAGAGAAATACTCTAATGTATGTTCCTAGACCATATTGAAATTAAACTAGAAATCAGTAACAGAAACACAGCTCGAAAATCTCAAAATACATGGAGATTAAATGTGAATTGAATAATAGTATTATACCAGTGTTAAATTTCCTGATATTGATAAATATACTGTGGTTATATAAGACAATGCTCTTGTTCTTAATATACACTGAAGTATTTAAGGGTATAGGGGCACAATGTCTGCTATTCACTCTCAAATGGTTCAGAAAATTTATTTATACATGTACACATATACACAACATGGAGTACAAATAATGCAAATGTGACAAAATGCAAACAGTTGGTGGATCTAAGTAAAAGGTATCTGGCAGTTCTTTGTACTATTCTTGCTACTTTTCTATAATTTTTAAATTATATCAAAAAAAGAAGTTGCCAAAATAACTAAAGAATAAAAAAAAGTTAACAGATGAGACAAAAGTACTAAGAATCTAGGTGGTGGGCATATGACTGTTCACTAAGAAATTCTTTTATCTTTGCTTTATGTCTGAAATTTTTCATAGTAAAATTATGGGAGGGGGGAAGTTAACAGAAATTAATATTTACGATAATACCAGAATGATTAGGTAGCTAGAAACAAATCTAACAAAAGACCACAGGTCTTTTATGGGAAAAAAAATTCTAAAACATTACTAAAAGACACTAAGGAATATTTAAGTAAATGCAATTGTGTACCTTATGCTTGAATAGGAAGACTCAATATCATAAAGCTTCAATTCTGTCTGAAAAACTGAAAAATCCAGGGAATGATAAACCCTAATAGGAGTTTTTGAGACAATTAAAAAGCTAATTCTAAAAAACCCAAGAATAAGCACTCCAATGGAAAAATATGTTGGAGGACTTGCCATCCAGAAATAAAGGTTTATTCTAAAGTTATCATAATTAAATCTAATTAAGTCAGTTTTAAATTTGTGCAAGGATATTCTAAGTGACCAGTGGAGCAGAATAGAAAATGCAGGCATCTATTTCTTGGCTCTCTCTTCTATTTACTTTGAAAATCCCTACACAATGCCATATTGGTATTAGTATTGTTCAGGTTCATAAATTGGGTGGTTCACAGGTGTTCATTTCATTATTATATTCCATAACATATATGTTACATTTACTTTTATATATAGCCAGTATTGCTTTAATAAATTATTTTTAAATAAATTGCAGAGATGTGGCTGGCCTCTGGGAAGCCTCCATCCAGGAACCTGAATACCATTAGGTCATATTTTATATGTTTCCTATTCTTGTTTGTCTCTACATGTTGACTTTATTCTCATGCTGCCTGTCCATATATGACTGGAACTATTCCTGCAGGCTGCGTTGGATATACAGCCAAACAGTCATGTAACTAGGTTGAAAACGTTCTTCTCTGGCAGCTCCAGTTTAAAAAATGCTAGGAAAGTATTCCAATTGGCTAGACTTATATCAAATATAGTCATCCTTAGACCAATCAGCATTAGCAGGACAGAAGTCTGTGAATGGAATAGTTGGGTCATCTGCTCACCTGAAGCCAGTGGGACAATATCTATCACCAGAAAAGTTACGGAAGGAAGCAAGGCACATGAAACATTCAGCTAGGACGTGACAGCTTCAACAAGACTGGCTGATGGAATCAGATGTTGCTGTTACAGCTTTTCTGTGGACTGATTTTACAATAATTGATCCTTTATTGGCTCCTGAAGTGTCCATTATTTCCTTATCCTTTCTGTAGCAAAGAACCACTTTATATTCAGGAATTAGCAGATAAATTAGGGGAGTATATGAATTAAAAATTGATTTCAGGGGCCGGCCCGGTGGCGCACTGCTACAGTGCGCCGCTTGGGGGCGCGGCGGCACTCCCGCCGAGGGTTCGGATCCCACATACAGACCGGCCGCTCACTGGCTGAGCGAGATGTGGGCGCAACACCGAGGGTTGCAATCCCGTTGCCGGTCCCGGTCCGGTACGGGTGCGACACTGAGGGTTGCGATCCGTTGCCGGTCACGAAAAAAAAAGACAAAAAGGAAGGAAAAAAAAAAATTGATTTCAGGGCCGGCCCGGTGGCGCACTGGAGAGTGCGCCGCTTGGGAGCGCGGCGGCGCTCCCGCCAAGGGTTCGGATCCCATGTGAAGACCGGTTCCCGCTCACTGGCTGAGCATAGTGCGGGCGCGACACCGAGGGTTGCGATTCTGTTACCGGTCAGTAAAAAAGACAAAAAGGGGAAAATAAAAAAATTTGATTTCATTTTCATGTTCACCATACTTCACAACTTAGCATCATTATCAAATTTAGTAAAAATTATTCACAATTTACAACATAAATAAGATTGACTTTGGAATTTACGTCTTCAGCCCTTGAAGATTTTCATATAGCTTTACTTTGTAAAAAATTATAGATACTTTGTGAGACTTCAAGAAATACATGAAGTAAAGGTAACAAAAGGTACCTGAAATTCCTTCTATCTAGAAATAACTATCATTAACATTTAGGTGAGCATTCTCCTATTATCTTCCTAGGCATGCATACATAACATTCTTTCCCTTAGAAAGAACACCTATTAAACACCAACATTTTAAACCACTGTAAAAGTGCATGTGCTTTAAAATAATTTATTGGGTTTTTTTGCTGTTAACAGGTAATGGTACAAATACCTTACAGGAAGCAGAAGTGCATTATATTTCTCGAAATATTTGCAATTCTCACAGGAGTTATGCGGGAGTCATTCCTAATACTTCATTTTGTGCAGGTGATAAAGATGGAGCTTTTGATACGTGCAGGGTAAGACCAAATAATTCTCCTTTAAAACATTTTCTAAAGCCAGAAGGGAACCTGAACAAGGCCTTTGATCACTTTCTGGTGATCTTAATGACCAGATCTAAAAATACTAAATACTTTTTTCTTCTCTTAAAGTATTTCAACAATACAAATCTTTTTGGTTTCTGATTCCTTGGTCCTACTACTATCATCAGGGCCAACCTTAGGCAAAATTTGCCTTTTTTTTTTTTCTTAATCATCACCTTTGAAATATAATTCACCCATTTAAAGTGTATAATTTGATGGTTTTTTAATATATTTACAGAGGTGTTAAATCATCACCACAATCTAATTCTAGAACATTTTTGTCACCCCAAAAAGAAACGCATAGGAGTCACTCTCTATAGAGAGTTGCCTATTCTGAACATTTCTGGAATAATTCAGTATGTGGTCTTTTGTTATCAGCTTCTTCCACTTATAGCGTAATGTTTTCAAGGTTCATGTATGTTGTAGAATGCATCAGTACTTTATTTATTGTACTGCCAAATAATATACCCTGTATGGATATATCACATTTTATTCATCCACTCATTAGTTGATGAACATTTTGGCTGTTTTCACTTACTGGCTATTATGAATAATACTGCTATGAACATTTATGTATATGTTTTTATGTGCAGATGTGTCTTCATTTCTCTTAGAAATTCTACCTAAGAGTAGAATTACTGAGTCAATGTTTCACATTTTGAAGAACTGCCAAACTGTATCCCAAAGCGGCTGTACCATTTTACATTTCCACAAGCAATGTATGAGGGCTCCAATTTCTCCATATCCTAGACAGTACTTGTTATTGTTTATCTTTTTGATTATAGCCATCCTTGTGGGTGTGAAATGGTATCTCACTAATGTTTTAATTTGCTTTCCCTAAATGACTAGTGATGTTGAGCATCTATTTATGTGCTTATTAGCCATTTGTATATCTTCTTTAGAAAATGTCTATTTGGGGGCCGGCCCGGTGGCGCACTGGATAAGTGCACCACTTGGGAAGTGCAGTGGCGCTCCCGCCCGAGGGTTCGGATCCCACATACAGACCGGTTCCCGCTCACTGGCTGAGCGAGGCGCGGGAGCAACACCGAGGGTTGCAATCCCGTTGCCGGTCCCCGGTCTGGTACGGGGGCAACACTGAGGGTTGCGATCCGTTGCCGGACACGGAAAAAGACAAAAGACAAAAGACAAAAAAAAAAAAAAAAGAAAATGTCTATTTGGGACTGGCTGGTTAGCTCACTTGGGAGAGCATTGTACTGGAAACACCAAGGTCATGGGTTTGGATTCCCGTACCGAACAGCTGCCAAAAAAAAAGAAAAAGAAAAAGAATGTCTATTTGGATCCCTTACCCATTTTTGAACTGAGTTACTTATCATTTTTATCACTGAGTTGTAAGCATTCTTTATATATTCTGGATACAAGTCCCTCACTAGATATATGATGTGCAAATACCTTCTCCCACTCTGTGGACTGTTTTTTCTACTTTTCTGGTGTTATCATTTGAAGGGTAAAAGTTTTAAATTTTTAATGAAGTCCAATTTATCTATTTTTTTGTTTCATTTCTTATGCTTTTGACTCTTTCTTTATCCTTCTTTTCTTTACTACTTCTAAATTTACCAGGCCTTCACTCCCAAAAGTACCCCATGCTCTCACCTTTTCCTAATCATTCCCATTTCTGCAATCTAAGGTTTATCTTTCTTGTGTCTTTTTCCTTAAAATTTTTGCTGAGTAAAATAATAAAGAATTCAATCTAACTGAATTGCATTCCTAGGCAAAACATCCTCATCAATAAAAAATAATTATTCAATGCCTGCCTTATATAGCAAATTGGAAACACCTTAGAAACACAGTCCTTAACCTTCAGGCACTGAAACAGGTATCTCAGTGTCCCTATTGTTTTGAATGCCTTAAGTCCTTAGTAACATTGTTTGAGCGCATTAGAAGTTTTGTGTAAACTATGAAAGAGACTTGTTATTTACAATACTATTAAGAATCTTTGTTATTTATTCCCATCTTGCTGCACTAGCTTAGAAAGTTGCCATCTCGGGCCGGCCCGGTGGCACACTCGGTAGAGTGCGGCGCTTGGGAGTGCCGCGGCGCTCCCGCCGAGGGTTCGGATCCCATATAGAGACCGGTCCGCTCACTGGTTGAGTGCGGCGTGGGCGCGACACTGAGGGTTGCGATCCCGTTACCGGTTGTGAAAAAAGCCAAAAAGGAAGAAAAAAAAAAAAAGAAAGTTGCCATCTCTTGCAAGATGCCAGTTTATGCCTCTCCTCTAGCTAGCAAACCACATACACATGTAAAAGAATCCTTCATACATCTTAAAGTTATGCCTTTCACACATAGTATCAAGCAAGAGAAATATTCTGATAGACAGTTTTTACAGTATTTTGCACAATTCTTAAAGAATATTTCTCCTGAGTAATTGTATTAAAAAACCCAAACAATGTAGTTTATATTGTTCTGGTTCAAAACAATGCCCACGAGAAGTTTATCCACCAGCTTGTGGTCTCTCCAAATACCTAGGCAAACTGAATACCTCCTGTTTGAGTTGCAATATTAAACTCAAAATCTATAGATCTTTATTATTTGGAGATATATTGAAAATATGTATTTAAATAAATATATGTTTAATGTAATTAATTTATACCAGCTCTACTGTTGCTTAAAGAATGCTAGAAATAACTAACATTCTTTTGGAACTTTTTTGATAGGGTGATAGTGGTGGACCATTAATGTGCTACTTACCAGAAAATAAAAGATTTTTTATAATGGGAATTACCAGTTATGGCCATGGCTGTGGTCGAAAAGATTTTCCTGGTGTTTATAGTGGGCCATCCTTCTACCAAAACTGGCTGACGGATCACTTCTCCCAGGCAAGCAGTGAAGGCATATTTAATAAAAATATTTTACTTGGACAGATCCTCATAGCTTTGGGTTCTGTTGTCTTACTAGCAACAACATAAAGAAATTCTGAAGATTTAAGTATCTTTATTTTGCATTGTGTCCCTTTCTATTTCCTACGTAATGAAAATCATTCATTCTTTTTGCCCACTTTAGAGTTCTCATGTGAGCATTTTTTTGGAATAAAAGGATTCTGACATATTAGATATACAATTGTAAATTTGGCACTAAATCACATGCTTCTCTGATGTATCTTGATTGTTTTACTTTAAAATCATAATTTTCTATTTCCTAGTGTTTATATAAAATATTCACCTAATATGTACTTTATGTGTATAAATGTAAAATAATAAAGAGTTTATAATTAAAATGAGAGCTGCTCTTTGGTTAAATTAATTAAAATGCTTTCCTTTTAAGTTAGATTTTATTTATTTATTTATTTATTTATTTTAAAAGATGACCGGTAAGGGGATCTCAACCCTTGGCTTGGTGATGTCAGCACCACGCTCAGCCAGTGAGCAAACTGGCCATCCCTATATAGGATCCGAACCCATGGCCTTGGTGTTATCAGCAGCACCACACTCTCCCGAGTGAGCCACGGGCCGGCCCTAAGTTAGATTTTATTTATTCAAAAACATTTGTATGATTATTTTTTGAATTATAATCTTGTTTCTGATTTTCAAAGGATATTTGAATAAGTATTTGCCTATTATTTAAATTCTAATTAAAGCAACTTACTTAATATTGATGCTTTATTTCTTATGCCAAAAGAGAAAAATTATGGTGCAGACATCCCAATAATTTACTTTTTATTTAGAAATTTATTATGTGACTTTTTTTCCAGCATTATAACCTACTTTCTAAACTATTTTCTTGAAGCCTATGCTAAAATTTGTATTCTGCAGGCCCTCTGGATTACCTGTGAAAAGAAACTGAAAAGCATGCTGAGTAAAAGAGGGAAGCTAACTTGGGATAAACTTTATGACTAATCTATAAAATGCACTATTGTAACAAAAGAAAAGATTGACTGAATTAGTATCTATTAATCAACTCACATCTTCCCTGAACTTAAGAGAATCCATCTAGCAAAGAAGAATTATTTTATCATCCTTCTTCTCACATTCAACAAGCTAAAATCAAGGGTCTTTGGTTGTTTTGCTAAATTTGTTAACCTAATTTCAAGATTTATCTGAAAGTAAGCATGAGTTTACCACCTATTAATTTCCTTAAAGATCATTACTGGCTTGACGCTCAAGGAGTACATGACTATGAATTTTATAGACTGAGCAACATTCAGGAGATGTTGGTTGTCCTTTCCTGAAAGAGACCCCAGTTTATCCATTGACCAGGTCTTATAAGGAATTAGTTGGTAACGTTTATATAGCAACTAGCATAATTCATTAGTCTTTTCCTATTTATACTACCCTAAATATCATTCAGATTCACTGGCTAGCCCTGAATTTTAGTAAAATGAAATTCTTCTAAAATGTATTGACATCACTGGAGGAGCCTTTGCTTTTCACTTCAAAGCCATATTCTAATTACTCTAATACTCATTTCTAATCAGGTAGGAGATACTAACAGCAACTTATCTTTTTGCCCAGCTTAGTTCACTGCTTCAGCCAACTGTAATTCAGTTGTAAACATTTCTCTCTACCACAAGAGACTAACTGAGTATAGGTTTTAGGAATCTAAGACAGACTGTTTCATATTTTATTCTGTTACTTAGTAGTTGTAAGAGTTTCGACAACTATGAATAGCTATTTACAGTATCACTGTGATGATTAATAAGTTGAGTATATGAAGTTCCTGATATTGGAAGATACTCAGTAACTAGTTTTTATTATTAATATCCCATCTGTGATTCACATACTCCTTTTCATTACATAGATCATTATCCTATTGGACAAATATCCATTACTTTCATCTGAAAAAATTACTGGAACAAGGTGTCCTTTTCTACTCATAAACTCAAACTTAAAAATATACTATTTTTTAGGGCCAGTCCGTGGCTCACTCCGGAGAGTGTGGTGCTGATAACACCAAGGCCAAGGGTTCGGATCCCTATATAGGGATGGCTGGTTTGCTCACTTGGTAGAGCGTAGTGCTGAAAACACCAAGTCAAGGGTTACGATCCCCTTACCAGTCATCTTTAAAAAAAAAAATACATGCATACATATACACACACACACACACACACACACACACACACTATTTTAAAAATTACACTTACTTTATTTTTCTAATTCTGAAAATATTATACCCTCATTATTAAAAATTGAGAAAGTACAGAAAAATAGAAAATCATCCATAGCCCTACTATGCAAAGACAGCTACCATGAAATCCTGCCTTTTTCACTTATTAAAATGTATATTTTTATAAACTCTTCTTAAGCATTATTTTACCTCAGCTATTGTGAAATATCTCAAACCTATAGAAAGGTTGAAAAGCAGTACTATGATTACCCATTACTACTTCACCTTTATTCCCCAAATATTAACATCCTGCCCTGTTTGTACTCACGTTCACGTTCTATCTCTCTACACACACATACTTTTTTTTTTGGTTAAGCAATTTGAAAGTACATTGCTGACATCATGTTACTTCATTCCTAATACTTCAGCATGTATCTCCTAAAAACAATACCATCATCACACCAAAGAAATTTAGCACTTATTTTTGTTCTTTCTTTTTTATAAATTGTACACTCATTTCTTTGTTTCATTAATCTACTGTATAGGGTTTCCATAATTTCATATTGTTTCACTCTGATTATAGAAGTGCAGTATGTATTCACTGTAAAGAAAAGACACAGATATTACAGAAATGTATACTTTTTGTCTTAGATCAGGCTGCTAGTACAAAATACTATAAACTGGTGGCTTATAAACAACAAAAATTTCTCACAGTTCTGAAGGCTGGGAAGTCCAAGATCAAGGCACCAACAGATTTGAGGGTCTACTTCCTCATTCATAGAAGGCATCTTCTCACTGCGTCTTTGCGTGGCTAATGGTCAAGGCCACTTTCTGGGGCCTCTCTTATAAAGGCACTAATTCTATTTATGAGGACTCTACTTTTATGAACTTGTCACCTCCCAAAGTCCCCACCTCCTAATGCCATCACACTGGTGATTAGGTTTTCAACATGTGAATCAGGGGTGGACAGAAACATTCAGACCATAGCATTTTTTAAATAAAACTTGAGAGATTAACATGTTCCAGCCATCCTCACATTCCAGTGCCCTCATGTCCATGTTCCTAAAACAAGAATAATTATATTTATTTAAAAATAATTAACAGTATGTTCTAACTCTATCTACTGAAAAGGCCTAGATGCCATGAGCAACCAATAACAACATGTACCCTAGCACCCAGATTTTAGTTTCTCAATACCATTCCCCTGTAAAAGAGGCCAACACTCCTTAGACATATGACTGATTTTAGGTCTGGGGCAGGAAATACACAGAATGAATTTGGGATATCATGGGTGTTATTAAAGTCTAAATGGTCAAACTGCTAAAAAACTTGAAATCTGTCAGTGGAAGAAAGAGGGGAACAAAGTACATATTAGGATACAATGATATTAGTAATGATTGACTTCTCATCAGATACAGTGGAAGCTAGAAGACATCTGAGTGACATATTCAAAGAGCTGAAAGAAAAAACAATTATTAACCAAGAATTCCATATCCAGAAAAATAATCCTTCAAAAAATCAAGGTGAATAATGACATTTTCAGATCAAAAAAAATTGAGAGAATTAATTGCCAGTAGACCTGCATTACAGAAAATGCTACAGGAAGTTTTTTGGACTGAAAGGAAATAAAAAAGGATGGCAACCTGAATCTTCAGGAAGAACTAAAGCACCAGAAATCTTAGTGAGTACATAAAAAGAACTATATTTCTTTTCTTAAATTCTTTAAAATATTAATGACGGCTGGCCAGTTAGCTCAGCTGGTTAGAGCACAGCCTTGTAAAACCAAGATCAAGGGTTTGGATCCCCACATTAAAATAAATAAATAAATAAATAAATAAATAAAAATCATAAGATACATATGACTTTTTTTTTTAGTTCACAAGGGCACCATCCAGCCAGGCCCCTCTCCCCTCACTGTCAGGGATAGTGACATAGCACAGACAGCAAGCATGGCTGCAGCCACCCCTGGAACAAGAGCCATGGATGACTCCACCACTCACCCAGACCCCATCTCAGCCCAGGGTGAGCCCTGGAGGGGTGGGGAGGAGGCTGGGGCTCCAAGGCAGGACACTGCAGGGTCCCCCAGGCACGGCATAGTGCCCAGACTCCCAAAAGGCCATAGGGTAGGGCAGGGCGGGTGCCTCCATGACCACACAGTAGGGCACTACAGTCGGCTATGCACACAAGACCCACCACCACTCTGACACCAGAGTGGAGGGCACAGCAGGGCTGGACGGACCCCCAGGGGATGCAGAGTAAGGAGGGAAGGACAGAATCTGAGAGTGCAACAAACCCTTCTGGGAAGTGCTGACTCCCAACAGATTGCAGTGAGTGAGCTACACACATGACTTTTTAAAGCAAAAATTATGACACTATATTATTGAATTGATGACATCTGTAGATGTGAAATATATAACAATATCACCACAAAGGATGAAGATAAATGGAATATACTATTTCAAAATTCCTATATTTTACTTAAAATATTCAATATTAATGATTATTACATTGTAATAAGTTCAAGATGCATATTGTAATCTCTAGAGCAATCTCTAAAAATAGTTTTAAAAGATATAGCTAAAACACCAATAGAGATATTAAAATGGAATGTTAAAATAATCAATACCAAAAAGAGGTCTGACAAAGGAAAAGGGAAACAAAAAAAAGATGAGACAAATAGCAAATAGCAAAATGGAAAACCTAAATCCAAGCATGTGCATAATAACATTAAATGTAAATGGATCAAATATTTCAAAAAAGAAAGGATTAACACCCAAATCACAGGCAATGAAAGTATAAACAGATATATTGCACTACATCAAAAAATAAGCACTGCACTTCATCAAAGGATACATTCAACAGAGTG